AATAGTAGGTATGTACTTTAATAGATAGTTAGGTAGGTAATTGTATAAAACGTAACCACTTCTTGGCAGTCAGGTAAAAAGACGAACTTTTAATGCTAAGCATTCTTAAGCAGCCAACCATGAAGCACGCATAAAACTTCTCATTATAGATTGTCAGAGCCACTTGACAAACTATTCATCTGTATCTATTTCAGAATCAGTTTATGATGATGAAGACGTAGAAGAGTCCGTCACATTGATTATAACCTAAAATATCGGCAGTCTTCTTTTTTATATCGGTTTTGGATGGATATATAACGATATAATACGTCACTAGACCACGTTTCTTTTATATATTTATAGATGTTTATAATTACAATTTTTTCGGTTTCCGAAATATGCGACACTTTCCGCTTCTTTCGTGGCGACGAAGTCTTTATGAGATTTTCATGTCGATGGACCCGATTTCATACTAGTGATAATATACAAAACGTCACAAAACAATAACAAAAACTTTAATACAAAACGTAATAATACAACTAACAAAACAAACTTAATAAAAATTAAAACAACTACTATAACCGAAAATTTTAAATCTCAAACTATCTACACGCAAGCGCATCCCAAAGCAGAATGAGGAATGAGTTCTGCTCTATCCGCTTTCTCAAATACGCACGGCGTGAGACCTATCGCAAATCGCGTCGAAACAGGTTTATATCTCTGAATGACCGCTTCCTTCCCCCTACCCCGTACCATGAGACACGCTTAGCGCATAACGATACGTAATCTATAAAGAAATGTATGGGAGCAATAACTGTCGTTTTGTTTCGATGCTAACATAATACTTGAGGTCAATGAAGTACACTAAACTGCTAACATATCGAAACTTCTTATTGTTATAGGAGATGGTAAAGCAGACGCTTTCAAAGAAAAGACTCTCGAAGAGATCGATTTAGATATGAAGGTTGAGCTAGGTGAAGAGGTTCTTGATAACGATCAAATACTCGATTATGATTGTAAGCTAATCGAAACTGTCAACTCTGATTGCATTCAACAAATGCGTAGTCAAAACAATTTATCTCAGGCTGGACCATCCGGTATTCGGACTTCTCAACAATGCGTCACCGAACAGGTAACACAGGTATTAAATACCAAAAATAAAATAAAAACAGGAAAGAAAAGGACATTAGTTACCTTTGACGTCGGAATTTTTTTTCAAATTCCACATTAAAAATAAACAACTACCTAAAAACATGAATGTGAAATATTAAAAGAACAACACGGAGACTTGCTGGAAAACAAAGATTGGCTTAAAATTAAAGTTTTTGTGCAAAATATTTACTTTCAAAAATTAACGAATTATTAACAATCTTTTTTATGATTTTCCAAACGATGTCCATATAATTTAAGTATCTTTCAAGTTCCTCAATACATACTACATAATGATCAATAATTTAATATTGTATAATGTCAGTGATTTAGTTTGCTAATATCCTATATTTAGAATATTATTGTTTTATTTCTATTACTTAATTTTTTCTGAAAATTACGAGTACAATGATATATCATAATTTAAAAGCGAAGATTATCATTGAGATATAATTAATTTACAATTTAACATTTACTTAAAAGAAAAACATAAGCTTACCTAACAATTACCTTACCACATACATTTACTACACAAATCATCTGCCCGTGGCATTAACTTACCTAACAACCTCGCCTTGTGTATTTGAATTATTATAGTGCAATAAAGTTTAAATAAACAGAGGAAAAATTCCTTATAGTCAATTGCGGTTAAAGAAGTAGCTTTAGTTGCTTAAAACTAAAAGGCTTCTACCGTGTCTGAGTATTTTCCACTGTCTAAGAAAATTAATTGAGAATTTTGCTTATCACTATTGAGATTATAAAAACACGAAATAAATACTAACATAAAAATTGTATCGACTGATATATCAGAAACAGTATAATCGCTGATATAGCTGGAAGCCGGTTGACTAGTACGATGAATATAAAATGTAAAAACTGTATACGGAATCACAATTTTTTCCAATATTGATGGATGTAACTTTATCATCGTGATCTTTGTAACATATATAGGGAATTATACAGAATCAGTTTAAGCGTAAGTTTCGATGGAGGTAGGAACATTTATGCAGTGTATAGATGGTATATTCAGGGTGCTGAATAATTTTGGTGGTGAACGGACGTACTAAGTTACCGGGAATTAAATAAATACCGGTGATGAAAGTATTAATGAGAATGGTGAAAGCCTCCTCACCGTATGCGTGGAAAGGAATCTTTTTGTGACGAATACTTTCTTTCGTCATAAGAAGATTCACATGTATACTTGGGAAAGAGGTGATGATAGAAGCATGATAGATTTCATAACTGTGGATGAAAGAATAAGGAGTGCAGTGGTGGATACAAGGGTTTACCGAGGGTCCAACGTAGGGACGGACCACTACCTAGCCTTATGCCGAATTAGGGGTTTATTCAGACGTTGGCGGCATAGGACATCTGTGTCTACCGCTGCGTTATAGCGTATAAGAATTGAGAGGTTACAAGATGAAGATGTGAAAGACAGGTACAAATGCAGACTGAGAGAAAATATAAGTAATTTGGATGAGTTGTGTGTGAATGAGTTAGACTTAAAGAATGTGTGGCATAATGTTAAGAAAGGTTTAGTGGATGCAGCTACCGAAGTATGTGGTGTCAGTAAGAGAACGAATGAAAGGAAAGACAATACGTTATGGTGGGATGATGAGATACGTATGGAAGTTGAAGCAAAGAAGAGAGCATGGCTAGGTTTACTAGCGACCAAAGCTGGTAATTCTGGCGGTAAGAATGATGAGAATGAAAGAAAAAAGGCAGAGTTTAAACGTCTAAATAAGAGAGTAAAAGAATTAGTTGAAAGGAAAAAGCAAGAAAGAACGGATAAGAATGATAGAAGAATATCGGATAACTTTCAAGCAAATATTAATATGTTCTGGAAACTCGTAAGAAATACCAGGGGACTTTCAAATCAGCCTAGATTGAATGCGATACGAGACGAGAATGGCTGTATCCTGAATGATGACGTGTTGAGTCTAAAGAGATGGAAGGAATATTTTGAAAGCGTATTTATGAGTGAGGAGAAGTGTGAACTAAATGAAATAGAAATTCCGAAAGAAGGTGATGTTGAAAGCAACGGAAAGCATGAAAGCGTGCTGCCGGATATGATAGAGTTTCACTCGAAATGCTAAGGGCTGGAGAGGAAGTGGTGGCAGGCCTGCTGCACACCTTGTTTAATTTATGCTGGGAACTGAAGCGGGTACCGGTAGACTGGTGCAAAGCCGTGATAGTCCCAATATATAAGGGAAAAGGGTCACAGCAGGACTGTAAAAACTACAGTGGTATCAGGCTTCTTAGCATTGTGGGAAAACTGTATGCTAAGGTACTAATTGAAAGAGTTATGAAAGAAACTGATGACAAAATTCGGGATGTGCAAGCGGGATTTCGTAAGGGAATGGAGTGTACAGATCAAGTCTTTTCCATGCGCATGATCGCGGAGAAGTTTTTGGCGAAAAACCAAAAAGTTTTTTGTGCGTTCATGGACTTGGAAAAGGCTTATGACAGAGTGGACAGGGATGTGTTATGGCAAACGCTGAACGCATTTAGATTAAGCGCTGGTTTGATACAGGCATTAAAGTCTCTGTATAGGGACTCGAGTGCTTGTGTTAGAATCAACGGGGTCTACTCGGACTGGTTTGGCATCCATAAAGTTGTCAGACAGGGCTGTGTAGCTTCCCCGTGGCTGTTCAACCTATTTGTGGACAGCCGTTTGGAAAATTTGAAAGTTGAAGAATGCGGGTTAAGAATGGGTGAGTTAACCATCAAATGCCTTTTGTACGCCGATGATCAAGTCATACTTGCGTCGTCGGCGGCCGAGTTGCAACGGCGAATACTTTCGTAGTTCTTTATTTTTTCTACTTTATTTACTTCTACTTTGCGTACCTTTAAATATTTGGTTTATACCTGCATACTTTAAAATACCTTCCTCAGTGAAAAAAACAATCGGATGGTTATTAGTGATTGTATGATAGTGTAGTACTCTTGTAAACTGTCACTAAATTGGGAGGATCGACATATTTCATAATTAGAGGCTGGCGAATTTATTTCTAAATAAATAGGTATACAATATTGATGGGTATTAAAATACGAAAAGATCTGTAGATGATGAGTCTATTCTACAAATTAATAGCTGTCAAGAAATTATTGAAACGCATACAACCGATCGTCCATCGAAGGACGGAGTCGCTCTAATCTGTGACACAAACTATGGAGGTAATCATAGAAATAGGCGGTTATTCGTGTAATCTGGTTTGAGGACATTGCTTCTCAATTGTTACCCATTCTAAGGGACTTCTACATTTCACAGTGGTGAGCGGGTTCGTCGTTTACGCTTGCTTCCACAATTCTCTCTGATTTGCCATAATTATCATGCTCGGCGGGTTAGCAATCGCGGTAGCTGCTCCCTAACGTCAGTTTAGGTATTTTGTTTCTGGTATAAATTTGAAATGAACCTTGAATGATGAAATTTGAGATATCGCCATCTATCGGAGGACTCAAGATCTTCCAGGTAATAGCCGTCGTCTTAACAACCACGGGATGAGATTTACTTAGATGGCGGTGATAGATTCCTGATGCTGCCATCTTACTTTTGGAATACGGTCTGTAAGTTTACCTGCTGAGGTGTGTCATATTTCACAGCCCGTTGGCAAGTTTGAACCCTGCATCGCTGTAAAAACTCAAGTCCATGGGCTAAATTAAAAAGCATGTTATGAGCATAAGTTTTCACTTAAGGTTTTTTCATAATAAAAAAACTTTAAAATTTAATAGGAAAGGATAACAATACAATTTCTATAAGTGCTCCAATTTTTGTAAAAATATTTTATTACTAAGATCGAATTACTAAATTTCAAACTAAATATTTACAAAGCATGCTATACAATGATTATTGTAGTCGTATTTGTTGACGATCATCTAAACGAAGGTAGGTTGGGAGGATCCATCGCCAGGTCAATCAACTCGTCGATATCGTCAGAGTTCCAGAAAGACAGCTCCAACTGAAAAAAAAAATATAAATGGTCGCCTTTAATTCAAGTCGAAAAATATTGGTTTTGTGTTACACTTATTTAAATTTTCTCGCTGTCTCACTGATTATTTCATGTATGCAGCAGTTAATCCAAATACTTTAGGTTCAAAATTTAAATTTTCGACAATAACTATCCTTAGGTTCGTTTTGAGGAGCTAAAATAGAAAAAAAAAACATATTTGTTTTGCGAATGTCGTGTGTGGGTTCAGTTCAAGGGTTTTCGCAAGGGTTTTCGCAATCGTTCCAACTCATCTTATCTCCAACAGTATGGTTGAGAAGTCTGAAAAGATCACTTGTATGAATCGGAATTTAATCGTGTATTATTGAAGAATTGCTGGAACTGATCGTTGTAATTTAATCGTGTATTATTGAAGAATTGCTGGAACTGATCGTTGTAATTTAATCGTGTATTATTGAAGAATTGCTGGAACTGATCGTTGTAATTTAATCGTGTATTATTGAAGAATTGCTGGAACTGATCGTTGTAATTTAATCGTGTATTATTGAAGAATTGCTGGAACTGATCGTTGTAATTTAATCGTGTATTATTGAAGAATTGCTGGAACTGATCGTTGTAATTTAATCGTGTATTATTGAAGAATTGCTGGAACTGATCGTTGTAATTTAATCGTGTATTATTGAAGAATTGCTGGAACTGATCGTTGTAATTTAATCGTGTATTATTGAAGAATTGCTGGAACTGATCGTTGTAATTTAATCGTGTATTATTGAAGAATTGCTGGAACTGATCGTTGTAATTTAATCGTGTATTATTGAAGAATTGCTGGAACTGATCGTTGTAATTTAATCGTGTATTATTGAAGAATTGCTGAAACTGATGACCGTTGTAATTTTTTTATTTGCAAATGTTATGTAGTTTTATTACCTCGGGTTTAGTCGAGAAGTTATTGTCCAAGACTCCCCTTTACCGATGCACCTGTCAGTTAGAAGTAATAAAACCACATAAAACTTACAAATAAAATTTATTTAAATATTTTTTTTAATCGAGTTTTCTGAAGTGAAGTTATTTCTATACGTTGGAATACTGATTCGGATAACTCACTTAACGAAAACCACAGGGTTTTTGCTACACGTTGTGCACAGCAAGGAAGGCGATCGAATTTAGCAAACATTTTAGCGGACAACCTGGAGGGATAGTTCACTCCTAATATGGAATCTTCAGAAGTCGACCAACAAAGGAAATAAAAAACCGCGTACGGGATTTCCTGTCGTCGCTGCAGCGCGCCTTAACACCCACGTAAAATTTTTTACGTGTTGAAATCACTCATCTCTTCAACGGGATCCTTAGAACAAGCCATTTTTCCAGCGTATGGAAAACCGGGAAGATCATCGTATTAACGAAGCCCGGGAAAGACGGACGGCACACGCAAGCTCGACTCATTACGCTACTTCCGCAGATTGGGAAAGATGAATGCACTGAACAAACATCGTAGAATTCGATCGTGCATCACATTACGGACAGAGCAGCATGGGTTCCGCAGAAAGCGTTCAACCGGGTAAACGCCACTCAAGTTGTTAGGGTTGTTACTTTAATTGAAACTGGACACACCTATAAACATGTGGCCCAAACATTATAGCTCCTCTACACGATGGCGACATTCAGTTGTGATCGAAACGTTTTTCAAGATGGACGTGGAACAATTAGCCGCTGCGGCAATATATTTAAACAAAATGTCATTTTTTATTGTCTTTCTTAATGTGCACAAGAATAGAGTTATCAAAAAGAAATGGCGTAGAAAATGGTGGATGTTATCTTCTATCCATCGCAATAGAACTAAATATGTCCGAAGTCAATTTAGTTTTCTTTAAACAAAAATAATTAAATAATTAATAGTAATTTAATAAACAATTACTAATTAATTATTAAAAATAAATAAATAAAAAATAAAATATGTGTATCTCCTGATTTTAGTAGCTCTATGATTAAAATTTTATAACTTCATTAACCTTTTGAGCGCCACGCCAAAAACGCATTGCCGTGTCCTCCTGTACGCCAAAGATAACAAAAATACCTACGAAAAAAATAGTGCTGCCAAGAGTTGATATATCGACAACACAAAATAACTCGATTTTGTTGGTTTTTTATGCAATAAATGACTCTTTATAATCTGGTATGTTTTATTTAATCTTGTACTGTCTTCCACTCTTTTTATATATGTACTTTGTAGATAAATAAAAATAAACAATGACAATAAAATAGTAGTAAACCACAACACTACTCTTCATCGTGATGAAGTGTGTCACGACTGGACGACAACGGCGTAGCTGACCTTCCTTTTTGAAACTTTTGAGAGATGTAGCCGTGTCGCACGTTGTGTATCGATTTCAGAATCGATCTAACCAAAATATACAGAGATCGACTCAAAATATTTTATGTGTCGGGGGAGGCGTAGGCCAAGTGAAGCACAGAAGAAGTCTTACCTCTTATGACAATGGGGGTTTGATACGATTCTGATGCTACTACATGATTTTGAGATAATCATAATCATAATCTTTATTGCAATCAAATAGTAACAATAGAATTTGGAATTTTTTAAAAAAATAGTCCGCATTTGAACCCAGTTTGGGCGTAGCAATTATAAAAACATTAAATATTATTTTAAAATTCCAAGATTTCATTAATAAATTACATTATTAGATCATATTATTTTAAAATCTTGTAAATTTAATTAAATTAATAATCACAATGTCAAGTAAAAAAATAATAATTATTATTATAAATAAAAATAAGTAAAAAATAGTAATTGAATAAAAAAAATTAAATTAAATTAGATAGGCACAGGCCGAAGTTGTCCACACAAATTAAATAACATTTGTACCAAAATGTTCATTTAAATTATAGAAACATTTTTCAATTAAATATAACTTTAATTTGGATAAAAATAATGTAGTACTCGTTAAATTTATTATATCATTTGGAAGGTTATTAAAAAAAATTACCGCCATACAGTAGGGACTAGAGCTATGCAAAGCAAGAGTAGATTTCGGCAATAGTAGCCTATTTTTATTTGGTCTAATTGAGCATTTGTAATTTGTTTCACTTAATTTGGTAAATAGTTCTGGGTGGTTTTTTACAAATTTGTATGTTGTCAAAGTCAAAATTTTAAACTTTTTGAAGTGGCGCTTACAACTTTCTGGAATTTTTATGTTTGCCAAAATTCTTATAATTTTTTTTGCATTATAAATAATTGCTGTGCATCTTTACTATTTTCCCATAACATGACACCGTATGACAGCTACGAAGAAGTGTATGTGTAATATGCTGACAGAGCGCTGGGGACATCTGTGGTTTTCTTTATTTCTCGTAATACTACGTAAGTGAATTTTGATAGCCTATTTTTTACTTTATTTATATGGGCTTTCCAGTTTATATGGCAATCAATTTCCAGGCCTAGCAAGTTGAAGTTGTCAACAGTCCTATAGGTATATTAATATAAATAAAAGCGATATTATTTAGTGGTGATTTTTGAACTGGTGGGAATTGCATAATTTTGGTTTTATTAAAATTAATCTCTAGGTTGTGATTTTATTGATTACTTGATTTGCAGTATAATAAAGAGACTGGAAACAGATGGAACAGCTAAAGGGGGCAACACTAAAAATAATTTTTTATTAACGCCTAATGAGCAAAATACATACTAATAAACTTAATTGTCACAAATATCTATATTTTGTTTTATACACATTTTTATTGTGTTCTTTTAAATTTATTCATTAGTATATATGTACGAGTATACAAGTGTTAAATTTGATATTTTTTTACAACCGACTACAATATAAATAAAATGAAAACGTCATCGATGTAGTCGAAGTCAATAAAATACGCATTATTAATGATAACTCAAGAACTACTGGTCAGATCTCATCTTGATCAAATTTATATGGGATCACATGAGCAGCACCAGTTTTCAAATAAAAAATAATCATCAAAATCGGTTAACATAGAAAAAGTTGTTCTGAAGTAACACTAAAATACAGTCGAATTGAGAACCTCCTCTTTTTTCGAAGACGGTTGAAAAGAAGTGAACATTAATTAAGTAGTGTGTTGTGTGTGGTGGTGTGTAGTGTAGCGTGTATTGTAGTGTGCAGTGCAGTGTGTAGCGCGCAGCGTGCAGTACTGACGGGGTCGGTGTCGCGGCAGGGGCGGCAGTGCAGGCGCGAGGCGCGGCACTCGCAGCGCGCGGGCGCGCAGGCGCGGGCGGAGCGAGCAGCGCGCGCTCCCACTACCGTCGCGAACCTCCGCGCTGCGCCGCGCTCGCCGGACAACTTCGCGCCCGCCCACACGCTGCCTGCGCAACAAAAAAGTACTCTTCACAACATCATGTATTACACTTCACAATATCATCACAACAACATATAGTAGAACTAAAGCAGTGATTCTACAACATTCAAACGTAGAATCAACGCACGCACACATATACACGCTTTGCTACAAAACCTTTAAGCGAGTTTCGAATTGTATTCGATATTAAAAATTGATGTTAACATCGATGTTAACAGCGATTCAAAAGTATCGATGGACAATAAATATCGAAAGGAAAATATCGATGATATCCAAAAACATGAATGTTTTAGATGGAATAATTGGTAATTTAGGAATATTTCATTTATTAAATGTATTTATTACGCTAACTATAAAAAATATTATTACCAGTATTTTTCCATTACACACTGCAAAAAAGTAATTGGCAGAAGTTTTCCCTTTAATCTGTTCCCTTTTTGATGAAGATGTTGACCAGCTTTTGAAGTTTTTCCGAAGTTGTCGAAGTCGCTGTGCAACACAGACGTTTAATAGCTACTTTCTTCAACATTTAGACAGGTAAGTAACTAATGGATCCTAATGACCTTATATGATTTATCGGTGTTTCGGTATTATTCTCATAGCATCGAAGTGTCGATTGTTTTCGAAGACGAAACTTTGATGTCCCGTTTTTTCCCGCTAACCATCAATGTTTATCTACCATCGATGAATATCGGTTATCCCAAATGCATTTTCACTAGCTGACACTATTAAAATCGATATGCTTAATAGGCATTCAAAATCGATATCTGATTATCAAAGCACGTAAAGCCGTTGGTCCTGTGCCTGTTATCAATCGGGTCGTGTCGAATTACCGTTCCATCGGACTATGAGAGTGAGGGAATAGAGAGTGCACCTGTGCTTGTGCATGCACCACTTGAGTACTATTATCCTGTCTGCCCAGATGGCTAGTCTCGTTGAGACTGGCCGGCGTGACCGAAATTCGGTCATTGAAACAGTAACCGCCTTTTAAAATTTTTATTTAGTAGATCAATTGCTTTCAAAATCGATATATAAGGGTCCGTATCGTCTTAAATCATAAAATATCCATCATCAGAATAAATAGTGACCGTCATTTTAAACCGACTCACCGCAAGCACTTTTCTAAGCGGAACTTTTCAAAAGTGTGCCAGCACATTACTGTCGTTAGAGCCGCCATTTGCGCTCGAATGTTCCGTTTTAAGGCAGTAATTGCCTTCGGTTAAATAGATAAGACCTTATTCATAAGGAATCCGAAACAGAAATCAGGTGAGGACAAGTCTGGGCTTCGTGGTGGACACTCGTTGTTACCTCTCTTTGAGATGACTTTACCAGGGAACAGCTCCCGTACGACCTCCATGCTGGCATTAGACGTGTGGCACATGGCCTCATCCAGCTGGAACCAGGTCAGAGAATTGTACTTTTGGTGCCCAACAAGAGTTGGCCTTAAAATTCTCGAAACATTTCCACATAACAGTATGTATTTACTGTTACTGCATGGTTTCGAGAATTTTCGAAAACATAAGGACTAAAGAGCGCTTTGGCTAATATAGCAACCCAAACCGACACTTTCTGGCAGTGGATTGGTTTTTGGCGCGAAGGCTGTTCAGCACTCCAAAAACGGCAATTGTACTTGTTGACAAATCCGTTTAGGTGAAAGTGAGTTTCGTCCGAGAAAAGGATGTTCCCAAGTTGAAAAATCGCTTTCACATTAATGTGGAAAATGACGCCCTTTTTGTATGGTCATCATGGGAAAGTTATACCTCAAAATTCGCCTTAAACTGCTTCGCGAAATCCTCAAAGCCGCTGAACGTCGTCGCGTAGTGTTCCGCATTTTCTTGAACGGATCAATTAACCTCACAAATCCTTTGCTCCGTTTGTGCAGTGCGGTAGCGACCTTGTTTGTAGATTTTTGAAACCTCTTCAGCCATCGTTTAAGTGAGTGCTAGGACACTACCGGATAATCCGTAAATTGAATTTAACTCTGAACATACGCCGCACAATAATGTAAGAATGACCATTTTCGTAAAGCGTTCGAACAGAACCACACTTATATAATAAACTTAATAAAAAATGAGACATTTACCACTTTAATAAAATAGACTAAAAAACTGTAAAGACTTACCTGCAAAAGTTAACTTATATTGAAACTTAGTATTCAGACTTTATCTTAATTTCTTATAAAACTAATAATATAAAATAATACCCATATAAAACACACACACACACACACACGCACGCGTACGCGCACGCGCGCGCGCACGCACACGCACACGCACACGCACACGCACACGCACACACACACACACACACACACACAAACTCAAGCACGCACGCATTCATACACGCGAACGCACACGCACACGCAGACACACACACACACACAAATTTTACACACTCCTCTCCTTTAATTGCTCACACATTACACAAATATGTCTTACAGTCATGCATTACACATCTTAAAGAGAGAGTAACGACATTATTGTTACGCGCTCCAATGCCTCAAATCGGCGCACTAGCGCCATCTAGTCTCGAACCGAAGAACTAAACTTCTTGAAGTTTAAAACTCGAACTCTCGGTACCTTGCGCGTGTTTACTTGAACATTCTGGATATTTTGCTAATTTATATAAGTAGGCGCTGAAAGATGCGATCGAGTAGTATTGAATTGGCGATACGAGCGAAGCTTCGGAGCGAAATTAAGTGAATTAGTGTGTTTAATTATTAGTGTTTTAAGTTTTAATTTGTTTAAAGTAAATTGAAGTGTTAATTTAGGTAATTTTATCGGCAATTTTTACTGTCACGAACCTCAAGCTCGTAACAATTGGTGTCAGAAGTGGGATAAAATCATGCCGATTTTACCTAAGGAGGAAACGGAGGGTGTCCGTACCCGAAGTCAACGCCAGCAGGAGACGGACCAACGAAGATTTGGTGGTGCAACGCCGCAGACGTCGGAGGGCCAGCCATCGGCTTTAGGCCCGTCGGTAGCTCCTACATCTGCAGCACCTGACTTAGGTGCTCTGATGGTGATGCTGCAGGAACAGGTCCGTCAGTTGAAAGAGCAGCTGCAGAGCGGACAAGAGGAACAGGCCCGCCGACAGGAGGAACAGGCCCGTCGGTTGGAAGATCAGCAGGCGGAACAGGCTCGTCGGTCGGAAGAGCAGATGCTCCTCATGAAGGACCTTCACGCTACCTTTGGGAAAGAGATAAGGGACGTGAAGGATAGGGTTGCTCAACACGACAACCGCCTGTCGGAAGCTGAAACCCGAATCGAAGAACATGAAACCCGAATCAACCATGTGAACAATCGGGTTGACAACGTGATGGCTGACGTGAAGAAAACGCTAAACGACCTCAAACTTGGGGATGGAACTACAGCTCCCGTAGTAGCTGCAGCACCTTCGCTACGTGGATTCAAAGTGCCGCCGTTCGATGGGACCTCTTCCTGGTCGGCCTACAAAATCCAGTTCGAGGCCGTCATGGAGGCGAACGGCTGGAATAAAAGCCAAGCCATGACTGCACTCACCCTAGGCCTGCGCGACCAAGCCTTAACTGTGTTGGAAGCTCTCGGTAAGAAAGTGACCTATGAGCAGCTTCTTGAGGCCTTGGAAGCGAGATATGGCGACGCTCATCTGGAACACGTCTTTCGCGCGCAGCTTAAAGATCGCGTGCAGCGCAGCAACGAGAACCTGCAGCAGTGGGCCCTTGAGGTGGAGAAGATGGTTCGAAAAGCATACCAGTCTGTACCTGCGCTCATTGAAGGGAACCTGGTTCAGACATTCATCGACGGCATCCGCGACCTTGAAGTCAGAGCTGCTGTGAGACTCGGGCACCACGACACGCTTAAGAACGCCTTGGCCCATGCACTGGAGGTGGAAGCCGTGCGGCAGGATCATCGTTCCCATCGCATCAGGGAGGTTGCAGCAGCTACAGTTCGCGACCGCAACAGAGGATACAGCCCTAGGTGCTATGGCTGGGGGAAAAGGGCCATCTTCGATCCACCTGCCCTAAGCGAACCCTAGAAAGGGAAGGTGAACGATCTCAGGAGGGTAGTGCGGCCAACAGCACCGCCCTGCAGCAGCAGGGAAACGAGTAAAAGCCAGAACTGCGGGGCGGGTGCTGGCTGATGTTAAAAGAGCCCCAAGGATCTCGATCTCACAAACCCATGATGGGAACAGTCTAATCATCAAGGGCGAGGTCAACGGAATGCCGTGTAAACTGACCATAGACACTGGAGCCTCTCGTACGGTTGTTAGTTCCCAACTTATAAGTCAGTTCCTTGGGGACTCCGCATACGACCGAGAACGCATTAATTTGGTAACAGCCACCGGTCAGCGTATACCCGTCCGTGGAGAGAAGGAGATGGAGTTGAAGCTAGGCAACGTGATCTACCTGCATAATGTCATCGTGGCTGATATAATGGACGACTGCATCCTAGGCCTAGACTTTATGAGGAATAATTGTTGTGAGATCGACGTTAAGCAAGGTGTTTTGAAATGTGGACAGGAGGAACTTTTTATGGAAGGTGCGTTACCAGGGAACGTGTACAGCTTTAAGAAGATTGTTCTTCCGCCGAGATCGGAAACGATTGTTCCGGTTAGTCTTCCTCGAAACGCTGGGCAAGCTCACCGTTGTGTACTTGTGGAAAGGGTAAACAATGACCTTCCATGGAAAGTAGCTCGAACCTTGGTCAGGACCACTGACATCTCAGGAGTACGTGTGCTGAACCTTTGCGACCGGGAACAGATTATAGAAAAAGGCACACTGGTTGGTACTTGTGAGGAAGTGGATTGGTTACGTCAGTGCCAATATATATCGAGTGGGACCCCCAGCAAGGATTCAGAAACGAGAGTGACCACACTTTTGGAAGACTGTCGCAGTGTTCTGTCCCCGAACGAATTGGTCAAGGCGAAGAAGTTGTTACTCGAGTACGCCGATGTATTCTCATCAAACGATGCTGACATAGGAAAGACTGGCTTAGTTCAACACAAAATAAACACAGGAGAAGAATT